GTGTAGTTTGTTACATGGAAAAAGCCAATTAATTTATACAGGCTCTTTTTGTGAGTTTTCCTTTCTCTGCCCAAGCACTGGCTTTTCCAGTTCCCATCCATGTGCAGCTCCCAGCTCTATGTGCTGTATGTGATCACTGCTGTCCTTAGGATTTGAACTTCCACTTGTACGCTGAGGTTTCTCAACAGTATCACTGACCTTGACATCAACCCTGGAAATTTAGACTCACAGGAATAATCACCTGGACTTTCCTCGGGGTCCTTGAATTTAACACATTGGAAAAAAAACACAACATTCCTTCCAGTTCCTGGCTCATTTGCTCATTCTTCTGCATGTTCTGCTCCACTAGTGACACTACCGTGCTCTCTGTCATTCAGGCCAGAAACAGGCTCAGAGGTGGCCCCTATCTCTCCTTCACACCTGGTCACCAAGCCTCACTAAATACCCCTCAAGAAGGACCACTGTGCCTTCCACTCCCACCATTGCCCCATTCAAGCCCTTCTCACATTTCACCTGAGCTTTTGGGATGGTTGGCCTCTAACTTAGTGGGTCCCTAAAGTAGCTGAGCATCATAGTCATCCAAAAGAGAGAAGGAAAGGCGTGATCATGGCTGTCACTTATTACAAATTCTTCACTGAGGCTCAGCACTCAGCACCAGCCACATATACCCAGGAGGTGGTTCAAACCCAGCCTGGGCCAGCTAAACAACCTCCTAACAAAAAAATAGTCGGGTGTTGTGGCAGGTGCCTGTAGTCCCAGCAACTTGGGAGGTTGAGGCAAGAGAATCGCTGAAGCCCAAGGGTTTGAGGTTGCTGTGAGCTATGATGCCACATTACTCTACCAAGGGTGACATAGTGAGACTCTGTCTCAAAGAAAAACAAAAACAAAAACAAAAAAACCCTTCACTGAGTTGCCACCACCAAAGGATTAGGCTTCCTTTCCACAGGTATAGCCCATTCCCCAAGACCTGGCACTGAATGCAGTGGGTGTGTGCATGGACACTGGGGCCAAATGCTAGTTCTCTGACTAGCCCATGACAGTGGACAGGCCACTCAGTCTCTCTGTGTCTCAATTTCCTCATCTCCAAAACAGAGATAATAACTGCATTTTTCTATTTATAGTGTTGTTCTGAGGGTTAAATAGCTTTATGTATTTGGAGTGTGTCTCAAATGATACCTGGCATGTTATGAGACCCAAATATGCTCTATATTGCTGTGTGGACTTTTTTTCCCACGTGACATTTTTTTCAGTTTGTCATTTGTCATCCTTTGGTAATTGTTGACAAAGCAAAACCTCTTTTTAAACTGTAAGATATTTTCATCTTTCTGCCTACTCTTTAAGAACATTTGCAATTTAGTAATAGCAAAGCAGTGCCATGAATTAATGGACCATACTAGGTAATTATTCTTGTGTGTTTAATTTTTTGCAGTAAGAATGCTTTATTTGTTTTTAATACACAACTAAAACCTAATATGTCCTTTTTTCAGTTTTGGAGTCCAGTCAATGGAAGTATAATGTGCTTCCAAATTCACCCTTTTTAAGAGTTTACAATTTGATGAGTTTTAGCATAACTATGTAACCACCACTATAATCAAGATATGGAATATTTACGTTGCCCCAAGAATACTCCCTTGCTTTCCAATCACCTTGGAGACTTATCCGCTCCTGCTCTCTTCCTCACCATTTTAGCTTTGGCGACAGCTTCTAGTTTTTTCCTCATGTCACATGATCTCAGATCATCACAGCTTTCTTTGCTCACACTGCTTCTGGCCAGGTGGGCCCTCTTTGGTTTGGCTACTTCCCTCTTCTCCTTCCAGCCTCTGCTGTCACCTTCTGCTCCCTTGAGTCTGGGTTGACTCCTCTGTTGTGGGTGGGAGGGGTGGGGGCTCTCAGATCACCTAGGCTTCTCTCTCTATGGCCACATGGCTGACTTTGTGTTGAAATGACCTGTTCGGCTCAGCGCCTGTGGCTCAAGCGGCTAAGGCGCCAGCCATATACACCTGAGCTGGGGGGTTCGAATCCAACCTGGGCCCGCCAAACAACGATGGCTGCAACCAAAAAATAGCCAGGCGTTGTGGCGGGCGCCTGTGGTCCCAGCTACTTGGGAGGCGGAGGCAGGAGACTCGCTTGAGCCCAGGAGTTGGAGGTTGCTGTGAGCTGTGATGCCACGGCACTCTAACCAGGGGGACAGCTTGAGGCTCTGTCTCAAAAAAAAAAAAATCATCTGTTCACACCTGAGAGTCCCTCACTGGACAGCAGAGACCTGTTTCCTAGGTTCTGGCCTGGAGCCAGCCACTGAGTAGACCATACCTGGAGGTTGGACTGTGGGATGGACTCTTTGTTCTGCTGCTGGAAAGCTACATGAGCTAGCACAGTGGTTCTCAACCTGTGGGTTGTGACCCACAGGAAATGTATTAAAGGGCCACGGCGTTAGGAAGGTTGAGAACCACTGAGCTAGCAGACCTGGGCCTATGATGAAGACCTGCCCCGGGGGATGCCTCTGACTCCCGATGCCTCTGGTCCACCTAGTCCAGGAAGTGGGTCTGGTTTTTCCAGATATGCTTTAGGCCAGCTGCTGAGGCTGAGTGGGCTAAGGCTGGGGGGTCTGCAGGGGCAGCAGTGGCTGTGAGAGCCAGGCCACTCCAGGGGTAGGGGGATCAGCCCTGACAGAGCCTGTGGCAGGGGTGTTGATTTCTCTGCTCACAGTGCTTGAGGATGACAAGGCTTTGGGTGGAAGTCTCCCCAGCACTCCCAGGAACAGGGACCTGGGAAAGGCAAAGCTACTCTTCCATCTTGAAATGAATATTGTGCTGAGGCCAAACCCAATGCTGAATTATGGGAGGGAAAAGGCAGAGCCCCTTTCTTGCAAACTTGCCTCACTCCTAGAGACTTTGTAAATTACAGAGCACGTATTTCCTGAGCTTCTATTCTCTTCAGGTGCTGGTTCAGAGATATGGCTGGGGTGCCCATATACTCTCTGGGCACTCACTATTCTGCCCAGGGCTTCTTGTTGTAAGACTTGCTCTGGGGGAGAAGGCATGAGGGCTAAAGTTCCCTCAGAAGAAGTCCTCTGGCAATGAGGACTCAGAGTGGGTGGACAAACAGCCATGTCCTCACTCCTCAGGTAGGACATCTCTGGGATGTGCGTCTCCAAGTTTCCAGATAGCCCCAATGACACTGAGCCCTATTAGTCCACAATGGTCACTTGCTTAATATTGTGCTGCCTATGGGCTCTTTCCCAGCCTACTTCTCCAGTGTTTCCTGGGATTATCCTCCACATAGGCTATAGGAACCAAACTCTCCTGCCAGGATCTGCTTCAGGGAAAACTAGAACAAAGACAAACAGTGAACAAACTGAAGAAGGTCCTGGGCCTGGGACAGGCCCTTGTGGGCAGTTGGGTCTTTTCTGAATTTATGAATCATGCTAGGCTGCTAGCCCAGCCTGGCAGTGCATACCAGGCACTCAACAAACATCAGTGAAGGAATGAATGAATGACTTTCCTCCCCAAAACCTAGACAAGGGAGTGATTGTCCTAGAGGAGACTTAAACACTCAGAAGGGTTAAATGTCTTACCTGTGTCTAGGCTGGACTAGCTGGTAGCAACTGCCACCAGGAAACTGGGATTCTTGACTTTTATTTCAAGCTGGGGTTCACTGCTGAAACTGACTGTCGAAAGCTAATCCAGGTTAATTCCTGTTGATTAATCATTAATGTGCTAAGAAACTGCTGAGATTAAACATAGGAATGAATGGTTTAATTTCAATCCAATCCCTCTTTATTCCTTCATGAAGGCTGGTATTTTTCACATCTTTCTAACAACTACTATAGTACCAATGACAAATGGTAGAGGAAGTGGTTGGAAATTGTCCAAGAAATAAATATTAGGCCCAGGATTCCACAGCCACAGAGGCCAGGGAGGTGGTGTGGGACAGATTAGGAGGTGCAGCCTGTGGGCCTCTCAGAAATCTTAAATTTCAAAGAAGCTGGTTTTGACTCAAGTTCAAAGGGTAGCTTTAAGAGATATAAATGGTTAAAAATCAAGACTAAAATTATTTTAGTTTGGGGCAACTTAAGTCTATTTGACTACGAAGAGAATTTTGCTAATGTTGGGGAAAAGTCATGTAATAAGGAAGTATCAATTGCTCAGTTTTCTGGGATATAATCAAGTTTTCCTAGGTCAGAACCTCTCACACTGCCCATTACACAGAATAAAATGCCAAAGGCTGGACCGTAATTATTGCACTGCTGGCCGTGGTTTGGACCACTATTTCAAATGGTCTGTGCTTCAGTTGTACCCTCCCTTCAGTGGGTGCAATGACACCCACTTAAACTCCAGTGCACCTTCTGGCTGGCTCTTCCACCCCAATCCCTCCAAATACTCAAAGAAATTCTTTCCAGAGCTGCAATCTCTTTGAAGTTAAGAACTTACCCTCCCAGGGCTAACCCACAGCAGAATTTATCCTCACACTTGGGGGCCTCAGGGGGCGCTGCTTCCCGGGAAGTCAGCTGGATTTAAATAAAGTAGTTTCCCTGGTTGATCAATGGTTGAGCAACCCTCTTCAGAATTACATCCGCCATCTCAGCCCGCCAGTATCCAGAGAAGCTGGCCCGGGGCCACCGGGACTCGAACCTTCCTGCTAGCAGCCTGGCCAGCGGTTGCCCCAAGTCAGCTACTACCGGGAGCGCCGCCGGCCCAGAGTGGGCGGAGCCGGCCGGCCGGCGACCCCCCAGTAGGCGGGGCGCTCCCGCTCCTGTCCCGCCCACGCGCAGAGCCGAACGCCGCGCCGCTCGGCCCCGCCCCTCCCAAGGCCCGCCCCCCGCGGCTCCCGCAGCTCCTCCCCTCTCCCATTGGCCGAGGTGGAGATCCTGCTCTAGGTCCAATGGCTGCCTCCGCGGCTAGACCGCCCGCGTCCTGACTGGCCAGCGACCGGTAGAGTGGCGGGGTGAGAGCCAATGGAGAGAGGCGGCTAGATGAATGGCTGGCCCGGGTGGGGAAGGCAGGAGGCGGCGATCCCGGCGGAGGGGGCCGTTCGCCAGCTCCGAGGCAGAAAGTGCCACGACTCCACACGCGCGCACGCAGCCAGCGAGCGGCCCGAGCGGACGGCTGACGGGGCGGGTGGCGTCGGGGTCGCGGTGCCTGCAGCTGTTCGGGGGCGGCTTATCAGCGGAAGCTCGGCCGACTCCTCTCTCCCGGTTCCGCGGCGGCGGCAAAGGCGGCGGCTCCTGCCCTCTCGCTCTCCCTCTCGCGTCTCCGGCTGCAGGTAAGAAACTTGGCCCGGCCCTGCAGCGGCGGCGGCGCGCGGCCCCGGCCGTCGGGGCACCCAGGCCCGCGGCGCCGCGAGTGACACGTCTCCTTGGCGGCCCCTCCCCCGGCGGCGCCGGCCCGCCCGCCGCCCGCCGTCGCCGCGGTCGCGGACCCTGGAGGTCGGGCTTGGGGGAACATGCTGGGTGACCCCGCTGCAGGGGCGTCGGTCGGGCGCGCCCTGCGGGTGGACACCACGTCTCTCGCCGTCTGGGACTTAAGGCGGCCCCGAGGCGCTACGTGGCGACCCCTCCCCTCGGCCGGGCCGTCGGGCCGGCCCGCGCGCTCCGAAGTTGGGCTAAGAAAGTTGGCGGCGGGGAGGGGCGGTGCACAGCTGGCGGAGGAAGGGGTTAAGTTTCGGGAAGCCGCCGGATGACGTTGCCGGACTGGAGTCGGGGCCAGAGGGATGGGGGGGCGGAAGACGGCGGAGGCAGGCCGAGGGGGAGGAGAAGGGCCGGATTGAATGGGTGGCCTGCGGGCCGAGCGTTCCCGCCTGCCGGCCGCTGGCCGGTGGCATTTCGGGGGCTGGGGAGGCCCCCGACGTGACGGCCCGGGGCTGCTGGGCTCACGGTGTGCGGATCCGGGGAGGGGGGCGGTCCAAGCCGCGGGCGTCCGGGCGGCCGAGGTGGCAACTTCCCGGAGTGCGGGAGGCGGCTCCCTGCTCCCCCTGGCGGCGGGGCCGCGCGGAGTTCCGCGCAAGGGCGCCGGGCTGGGGACGGGGGCATCCCGGACCCTGCCCGGTCCGCCCCGCCCGCAACCACGATGAATGGGTCAGTGGTGCCAGGCCCAGGCGGAAGCGGACACCTCCGGCCCGGCCGGCCAAGCGCGCTGGCATCCTGCCTGGCGCCCGCCGGGGCCCGCTAGGCGCCCTGGGTGGAGGGGCGGCTGGGGCCCGCGCTTCCAGGGGGACGTCCAGGATGCTCAGGATCTCCTCCCCGGATTATAAATCGCGAGTTTTGGCCCTGTAGCGTGTTTTGGCACCGTCGACGGGGACCCGGCCAAGTTGTTTCGTTGGGAGGGTGGTGGTCTCCACTTCCTCACCTGAAAATCCGGGCGCCTGATCACGTCTTCTTGAGAGAAAACCCATGCAGACTCAGCGCATGCACGAACTATGGACAAGCGTTGGCCGTTCCTGATGCATTTCAGGGACGTGCGGGACAAGGAGGAAGCTGAGAGCTAGCTCAGTTTGCTTGCGGGCGTGGGGCTACAGACGTGGCAGGGCCGGGAGTCCACGCCCTAGGCCACGCTTGCTGGCCCGCCTCCCCTCACAGGTCCCTTAGCCCCTCTGAACCCTGGTTTCCTGGTCTTTAGTCTGGAAATAGTACGGGGAGCCACGCAGGCAAGTGCTGGAAACTTGTACAAACAGAAGGCAATTTGGCAGTAACGCTGGGAGGTCAGAGGTTAGAAAAGACTGGGAAGCACCAAGGAAATGAAACTTTGAAGGCTCTGGGGAGCCTCTCACGTCACTGTTTGCTCAGCTATTCACCCAGCTTGCCAGAAGCTTCAGGTAGGGGCCATCTGGATGGCATTTTCTGGAATTTGTAAATAGGTTCAATAGGACCTCACATCTCTGGCTAGATAATATCTTCAGAACTGGTTGTCCCCAGAGACCTAGGTCATATATACAGCACTCCCAGGAAGAACAACTACAAATTTTACACACCAGCCCTATGCAGCCTGGAAGTATTCTCCACTGTCACTGCTTACCTTATTACACCCCCTGTTTGTCTTAACTTCCTGTTAATCTGACACCCAGAGAAGTCTGGGTGATCCTGCAGCATGCTGCTATTGTGTTGATGTCTTAATTCCTTTTTGAACTTTTCAAAGGTCAGTCCTGTGGTCTGTCAGCCTGTTTCCCTTCCAGAAAGAAGCTTCCAGAGTCCTAGAGATGCCACTTTCCTCACTTAATTTAAGCAAAGGTGGCGCAGTCCTCTTAGTAGGTGAACTTTTCCCTTTGCATTGGAGTACTGCAAAGCTGGCTTGCAGGGCTGCTGGGTCAGTTGAGGCCTGGATGAAGCCAGGATTGTGGGGGCAGGAGGGTCAAGGAAGGGATCATAGAATTTAGAAGCAGAGGGTTTCCACTGGATAGAGCTGTAGGTACTATGTTATAACTGAACTCTTTTCTTTCATACTTGGGAATTAGCCTTTTTGAACATTAACAAAGTGATTAAGAAATTACAGTGGTACCATGGTGTATGAATATTTTTTGGTGATAGGAGAGTTTTAAATAAATCCTGACTCAAGTCACATTTGAGCAATTATGTTCTTTGCTGAATTGAGCCCTGACTCAACAGGCTGCAATAATTGTATAGCACTAAATTCAGTTAAAATGGTTGAATGCAAATGATTGAATTGGAATATTGGTTTATTATGTAGCTGAGACACCTTTTAAAAGTGTCAGGATCCCAGACTCTTTTTGTTCTTTTACCCCTGGGAATTTAATAGACAAATGTCACATAAACAGAGATTTGGCAGTTCTTTTAACCCATCAGGTTTTTAATTGTTAAAATCTGGTTTCTGGAGGAAAACAATGGTCAGGGACTGTGTTATCCACCTGTACATCCTGGGCCTACAATGGTTAAGGCCTGGCCTGTAACATAATAAATACTGAGTAACGAGGTAGACAGCCATACTTGCTAAAATATTCTCAATAGTTATCTAACTATCTTACTAGATAAATGGAATAGATGAAGCTTAGTCCAGCTTGATTTTTAAGACTTACCTTTGGGCAGCACCTGTGGCTCAGTGGGAGGGCGCCAGCCCCATGTACCAAGGATGGTGGGTTCAAACCTAGCCCGCCAAACTGCAACAAAAAAATAGCCGGGCATTATGGTGAGCGCCTGTAGTCCCAGCTACTCAGGAGGCTGAAGGAAGAGAATCGCCTAAGCCCAGGAATTGGAGGTTGCTGTGAGCTGTGTGACGCCACGGCACTCTATCGAGGGTGATAAAGTACGACTCTGTCGCTACAAAAAAAAAAAGACTTACCTTTTAGAATCATGTTCTACAACTTCAACGTATATTTAGTCCTCACAGCAACTCTATTCTGTAGGTATGGCTATCACTAATTCAGTGAATGACAACATGGAAGCCCAGCAGGCCAAGAGATCATCAGACCAGTTCCTGTTTTCCAGCTGCTAGGCAGAGTGGGCTCAGTCTTTTGAACGTTCACCTTCTGAGCCTTATAACTCCACCTCTTTGGTTCTGTATCTTCTGAGGGAGGATCTAGAACTAGAAGTTCAGAATTAAAGGGTTCAGTGGCTGGCTTGGCGCTCGTCACTCAGTGGTTAGGGTGCCAACCACATACATCAAGGCAGACAGGTTCGAACCCAGCCTAGGCCTGCTAACAACGACAACTGCAATTAAAAAAAAAAAAAAAAAAACAGTAAGACTCTGTCTCAAAAAAAAAAAGTGGACAAAATAGGTTCCGTGGAAAGAAAGTGGGGAGTTATATGAACACGTGGCAGTGCAAGAAGGTATTTTTCATTTCATTTTCTCATCAAGCATCTGCTTGTGTGGTGCTGGACTTTAAAACACTGTAAATACAAACGAGAGAGACCAAGTTCTTATCTTAACCCACTTTCTAGATCTGTTTTGTCCACTTATTTAAATTTAAAACAATAAAATAAAAAATTCTGGTTCCTAGTCGTAGTAGCCACTTTCCAAGTACTCGTTGGTCACACATTGGTCTGTATGGATTTAGGTCATTTCCACCATCACAGGATGATCTGTTAGATAGCACTGGTCTAGAGGTAGTGGGTGCACATTTAGGTCTCTGTTCCTGTTGATCATAGAGAAATACTATACCGAAGCTGCCCATTTTGTAGGTCAAAGACAATCGACTAGTTGCAGTTTCTGTTCTTCAACCTAGTAAGATACTGCCTTTAGAAAGCATTAGTCCCAACCGTGTGCATCATAAACTGCATCCCAAGAAAAAGCAGTTGGAGGCAGCACAAACAGTGGCCCTGCCCTGGATGAGTTAAACCCAACACCCACAGTATCGAAATGGTCAAATGTACCTCACATGGAAAATAAATAGATAATAGGTAGAAAGCATATGGCTTGTAGGAATGTAAATTTTTAATTCTAAGTGAGAGTACCTGGGCAAAGAGGGCCACTTAATGTTATAGAAAATTAACTCAGGGCCCTGCTAGGAGACTGTTTTCTTACAAAGACAGATTCTGAATGAGTCTCCTGTAATAGGCAACCAGAATTCCGAGTCTAAAAACCAGACACATCTGTGTTTGCCTTTAGTAACATATATCTCCCACCTGTCTAGCAATGGGCAGCAACTTTAGTTTATAAAGAACACTTTAAATCAGATTATTTTGACAAAAGTAGAATACCTGTCCAGTCCCAAACTTTGCAAGTTCCCAAGTACTGGAGACCTAATAAACTTGGCTGGCATAAATTGTTTCCTAGGCAGATGACTAGTCTCAAGGCTCTTTACAACTCTGAAAGGATCATTGGGTAGTATTTGGGAAGACTTTTTGAATTCTTTTTTTTTTCTTTTGCAGTTTTGGCCAGATCCGGGCTTGAACCCACCACCCTCAGTATATGGGGCTGGCACCCTATTCCTTGAGCCATAGACGCCACCTGAGTTTTTGAATTCTTGATTGTACTCTTGGGCTCAACTTAGTATTTGTACTCTGTTTAGAATAGAATAAAAGGCTCGGCGCCTGTGGCTCAAGCGGCTAAGGCGCCAGCCACATACACCTAAGGTGGCGGGTTCGTATCCCCAGCCCGGGCCCGCCAAACAACAATGATGGCTGCAACCAAAAAATGGCCAGGCGTTGTGGCAGGCACCTGTTGTCCCAGCTACTTGGGAGGCTGAGGCAGGAGACTCGCTTGAGCGCAGGAGTTGGAGGTTGCTGTGAGTGTGATGCTATGGCACTCTGCCTAGGGGGATAGCTTGAGGCTCCGTCTCAAAAAATAGAAGTTTAACTTTAAACAAAGAACCCG